CACCAGCAGGAAGTAGCGCTCCTGACCCTGTCCACGGACGCGGGCTGGGCCCCACACGTCCATGTGAAGCGTCTGCAACGGGGCCTCTGTCGGAGGAAACTGGGAGGAGTGGGGGGCAGCACGCTGGCGCCCCTCGACACAGGGGACACAGGCAGGGCCAGGGCCCGGAGGAAGGGGAGGGAGGGACCGGGGAAGACCAGACACAAGGACCCGCGAGGCCATGCCTCTGAGCCGAAGCAGAGAGGGGTGGCCAAGGCGGTGGTGCCAGAGGAGGGTCTCGTGAGACAGACGACGACACGAACAGGGGGCAGACTCAGGACCAGACCTGGACGCTGCAGCAAACACCTGACCAGACGAAGGGACTCTACCAGACGCAGCACCTGGAGGAGAAGCAGTGGTCAGTGTGTACAGGCTCGACCCTGGCCGACGTGTAAACGTAGCCAGGTGACGACCTGTATCCGCCTCCGTACAGTGGGTCACCCGCTGACGAGCAGGGGTGAACTGGTGGACACCTGCATCCTGGAGGTCAGCACCACTCACCAAGTTCGTCGAGAACGAGGGGAGGTAGAGACCAGTCAGGGTGCCAGAGGGGGCCGCTGGACACGGGAGGACAGTGGAGAAGCGAGACAGGACAGGTCCCCCAGAGGGGTCAGCCAGGGACACCGCAACCGGCCGACTCAGCGGCGTGAGAGTGGTGCGGTCCCTAAAGAAGGAGCGAGACGCTCCAGAGTCAAGGGTGAAGGTGTGAGAGGCCGAAGCCGACACAGTACCTGAGAGGGCGGACTCACCAGCACCTGAGAGCACAGACGCACTGGCACCTAGAGCTGCAGCCTCACTAGTACCTGACGCGGCAGTACCAATGCCCGGGTCGGGCGGGAAACACCGGTAACAGTCATCCTCATCACTACCAGTCACAGCATACATAGCAGAGAGAATAGCATCAAAGTCAAGATCATAAATAGCTACTCCAGCCCTAGACAGCTCTCCCCAGCGGGGGATCTCAGCGGCCTCCGGAAACTGCTGACGCCAGGCGTCGGTCAGGCGGCCAAAGCAGCGACGGGCTGTGTGGGCGCCTCCACACCTCTCCCCCGCACGGTCACCGGTGCGAAGAACGTAGGGGCAGGGACCAAGCGCACCACCGCGCTGACGCTGCAAGTACCACTCACGGAGCTGCTGAGGGCCGGGGACGGTGCGAGAGCGCTGCTGCACTGCGGCTGCTGCTGCTGCTGCTGCTGCTGGCGCTGACCACCCCCAGAGCTGCTCCGCTGGGACGAGCCACTCCGACCCCCGCCTCCGCCGCCACCCCCGCCTCCACCGCCACCCCCGTCTCCACCGCCACCTCTCCCACCAGGACCGTCGCTCCCACCGCTCCCACCGCCTCCTCCGCTACCACCTCCGCCGCCACCTCCGCCTCCACCGCCACCACTAGTACCTCCACTCCCGCCACCACCCCCACCGCCACCCCCACTCCCCCCTCCACCCCCACCGCCTCCTCCACCGCCCCCTCTAGCTCCACCCGCCCCCTTGCCCCCCTTGCCCTTGCCAGAGCGGCGTCTGCCGCTGGGGGCAGACGCCGCGCCGACCGACTCAAAACCAGCGAGGTCGGCCGTAGCGGCAGAGGCGACAGAGGGCAGCAGGGGGGAAGGACCACACCCCTCAAAGATGGGGGTGCGAGGGTCACCCCGAGAGGCCCCTACAGCGACAATACTCTTCTCAGCCGCTAGCAGGGACTCCTCAAGGAGGTCGACAGTGAGAGTGGTGGGACAGACAGAGAGAAACTGGTCCCTAACGACACGAAGGGACTCAGGGAGACGGGTGACGAGAAAGTAGAGAGTGATGTACATGGGAGGAGGGTTCGCAGCGCGGAACTCAGCAGGAAGGGCAGCACGGTAGCGGGTGTCACTAGCGCGGAGGTGGGTAACTAAGTCAGCAACAGTGGGAAAGGAAGCGAGGTCAGGGAAGAGAAACGGTAGCATGAGGCGGCTAAGGGTAGCGGAGGAAGGGGAGGAGTAGCGTGCAACTACAGCGTCGTACAAGGCCTGAGCGGTCTTGCACTGACTAAAGTGGGCACGCTCAGAGGAAGGGAGGTGGCGACGCACAGCAAGACGTGCAGCAGCATCGCGGGTCGCCCACTTGGAGCGAGCAGCAGAGTCAGCATCAGCAGGCGGGGCAGGGACAGCGCCAGAGACAAAGTCAAAGAGAGAGACCTCATCTATCGCATCACACAGTAAGTACAGCTGCAGGTCTTCAATCCAGACGGCAAAGTCAATGGCCCTCCCCTCAGCGTTAAAAGTAAGAACATTGGGGGTGGCCATGGCAGCAGCTGAAAGTCTCACCGGGGTGGAAGAGTCGGGTAGGTCAGCAGCAGAGGAACACAGCTCAGGGACAGCAGCACTGCTCCTCAGGTGGCTCGCGTGGCTCAGGCGGCTCGGGCGGCTCGGGCGGCTCGGGCGGCTCGGGCGGCTCGGGCGGCTCGGGCGGCTCGCGCGGCTCGGGTGGCGTAGGGGCTGCTGGGGCTGCTCACGTGCAGCACGGCGGGCTGCAGCAGGGCCGGTGGTGGGCTGTAGCAGGGCCGGTGGCGGGCTGTAGCAGGGCCGGCGGCGGGCTGTAGCAGGGCCGGCGGCGGGCTGTAGCAGGGGCCGGTGGCGGCTGTAGCAGGGCCGGTGGCGGGCTGTAGCAGGGCCGGTGGCGGGCTGTAGCAGGGGCCGGTGGCGGCTGTAGCAGGGCCGGTGGCGGGCTGTAGCAAGGCCGGCGGCGGGCTGTAGCAGGGCCGGTGGCGGGCTGTAGTGGGGCCGACGAGGGGCCGAAGTGGGGCCTAGGCGGGCCGTCGGGCTGTAGGCGGGGCCGACGCGGCGGGCTGTAGCAGGGGCCGGTGGCGGGCCTAAGCGGGGCCAGCGCGGGGCCGACAGGGCGTAGGTGGGGCCGACGCGGGGCCGAAGAGGGGCCTAAGCGGGGCCGACGGAGCCTAGCGGGGCCGACACGGGGCCGAGACGGGGCCTGGGCGGGGCCTACGCGGGGCCGACGAGGGGTACGCGGGGTCGACGAGGGGTACGCGGGGCCGACGAGGGGTACGCGGGGCCTACGCGGGGCCGACGAGGGGTACGCGGGGCCTACGCGGGGCCTACGTGGGGCCGATGAGGGGTACGCGGGGCCTACGCGGGGCCGACGAGGGGTACGCGGGGCCTACACGGGGCCGACGAGGGGTACGCGGGGCCGACGAGGGGCCTAAGCAGGGGCCGACGAGGGGCCTAAGCGGGGCCGACGAGGGGCCTAAGCGGGGCCGACGAGGGGCTTAAGCGGGGCCGACGAGGGGCCTAAGCGGGAGCACGACGGGAGGGGCGACTCGGAGGGTCGCTAAAAAAAAAATGCGCGCCTCGGGGCGCGATTCGGTGGGCCCTAGGAACAGGCCCTAGGAAGGGACCTGCTCTGATTCCATGAGAAAGTACGAACGAGAAGTGGGATGACTATGAAAAGAAGTGGGTACAAATAGGAAACCCTAATTGGGTTGTACCCCCTATGGGATACCCCACTATAGCCTACAGAAACAAGTAAGCTATATGTTCTGACACCCACTCCTCCTGAGCGCGATTTAGCCACTCCGTTTTCTGTTGCAACCTGTAAGTGTCGGCGGGTCTGAAGTTCCAGTCTGTCCTCGTGCACTCCTGCCGAAATCTTCGATGACGCGCCCGCCATGCAGTAAAAGCCGCTGCACTTCAGGTCGGGCGGGACGACAGTTGACCCCGCACAATTTGGGCAATTCGTGTGTCGTCTCTCCTCGTCCACCGATATTTTCGGAGGCAAAACTCCATTTGCGCCCGGCGAGTTCCCCAGCTGACTTTTCTCCACGTTTGCTCCGAAATTGTCGCCCACAGTGACGCACGTCCGTTGTCGCCAGCTGCCGAAACACATTCCGCAAGTCACGCGCGCAAAATGACAACGAGCCACCGTCGTAACTTGCCGCTTCAGACGAACTCCGAAGTTGTCGCGCAGCTGTTGACCCAGGTCCGACGGCGTCAACTGCCACACACGTTGACGACTCCGCGAATTTCGTGCAGGTGCCGACGCAGGTCCGCTGACGCCAGCTGCCACACAAAACTTCCGAAATCGTCGGTAAATCGCAGCGGAAATTACTCACATAAACGTCGCGACAGCTACAGCTGCTCGTTGCCCGGGGGGAGGGAGGCCACGGTCGATCGCGACCGTTCGAGGCAAGGATCTGGCGGTGCCGAAGGAGTACCCGTAAAACCATGGCCGCGAGGAGCAACTAACTCATTCTCCTGGCCGGCCTACGCAACTCCTGGACCCCAAGACATCCTTCCTCGTCCCCCCCCCGAGGGGTATTACACTCTAAAAAGCGGGGTAGGCTAGGAAAGTAGCTCTGATACCAGGTGTTATGAATGAACTTGCAGAGTGCGCAGTAAAACAAATAACGAGAATGACTGATTACTGAATTACTGAATGACGATACAATGAGAAAGGCACGACTAAATAGGGGAAGTCCTAGCTAGGCGGAGAGGTTGGGCGAGGATGGCTCGGTGATGGTTGAGATTGGAGCGGAGGCCGACTCGGGAGTGGTTCGGTGCGACGAAATAGGAAGGACAGGTTCGTCGCGTGACCCTCGGGATGGCCTCGCTAACGAGTGCCTGAGTAAGGATTCTGTAAATCCTTACACACACGGACCTCCCCAGTTGGGGGAGAACTTGCGCAAGTAGATGTGGCCTGCACCTCGCTGCTATTTTCCAAGCTCGCGGCCACTCACTCTCCTATCTCACTTTCCACCGCATCGCCGCGACGTGTTCCTACACCTTATAGCACACCCTCAGCAGCGCCACACGCCCCGCATATCCCACGCCGCTGGGTTTCCAGATGTCACGATGCCCGTATTCCGCCCGTATCTCACGCGGCAAGACATCCGTGTTTCAAGCCCATATCCGCCGTATCCCACGCTGCAGGAGGTCCATTTTCCATATTTTTTTGCCACCCGTATTTAAATGCGCACAATGTCATTTTATGTCACATCTCTCCGTCCGTATCGACGATGCACGACGTATAGGTTGCTCGCCCTTGTCCGACCGGATACCGGATCTGTCATCCGCTTGAACACCAGCAGAACCACGCCGCGGAGCGTCCATTTGTGGACGCGTATCTACCTGTCTGTAACCCACCTCGCAATAGCGCCAGGGGTAGAAATACCTCATCCGTTTTCCCACGCCTCTCTCAGCACACATTACCGCCGCCACCCATAACTCACTTCCGCCTCCAAGCACTCGTTTCCGCATCCCGTCAATCCTTTCCGCCTCCCATCGCTCATTTCCCCCTCCCTTCATTGTACCCTCCCCCCATCACTCGTTTCCGCCTCCAATGACTCGTTTCTGCCTCCCATCGCACCTTTCCGCCACCCTTCACTCGTGTCCGCCTCCCATCACTCGTTTCCGCCTCCCATCACTCGTTTCCGCCTCCCATCACTCGTTTCCGCCTCCCATCACTCGTTTCCGCCTCCCATTACTCGTTTCCGCCTCCCATCACTCGTTTCCGCCTCCCATCACTCGTTTCCGCCTCCCATCACTCGTTTGCGCCTCCCATCACTCGTTTCCCCCTCCCATCACTCGTTTCCGAGTCCCTTCATGAGTTTCTGGCTCCGTACACTCGTTTCCGCCTCCCCTCACTCGTTTATGTCATAACTCATTTATATCTCTATCCCATCATTTCCACCTCCGTTCACTCGTTTGCACATCCAGTCACTCATTAGCGCCTCCCTACACTCATTTCCGCCTCATTTCACTCGGGGCTGCCTCCCCATCACTCATTTCCGCCTCCCTTCACTCGTTTCCGCCTTCCTTCACGCATTTCCGCGTCCCATCACTCATTTCCGCCTCCCTTCAGTCATTTCCGCCTCCCATCACTCGATTCCGCCTCCCTTCACTCATGTATGTCACCCTTCACCATTTCCACCTCCCTTGCTCGTTTGCGCATCCCCACACGCGTATCCGCCCCCCTTATCTCATTTCCTCCACCCATCACTCATTTCCGCCACCTTCACTCGTTTCCGCCTCCCCTCACTCATTCAAGCCTCCCATCACTCAACTCCGCCTCCCTTCACTCATTTATGTCTCCCTTCACTCATTCCCGCCTCCCTTCACTCGTTTGCGCATCCCATCTCTCATTAGCTCCTCCCTACACTCGTTACCCCCTCCCTTCACTCATTTCCGCCACCCATCACTCGTATCTGCCTCCCTTTCATCGTTTCTGCCTCCCTTCCATCGTTTCCGCCTCCCATCACTCATTGCCGCCTCCCTTCGCTCATTTCCGCCACCCTTCACGCATTGCCGCCTCCATTCACACTCTACCGCCCCTTCACTCGTTTCCGCCTCCCATCACTCATTTCGCCTCATTCACTCATTTTCGCCTCCCAGCGCACATTTCCCCAATATTCATATCTCTCCTCCCCATCATTACCCTCTATCTTTTCCCTCATCTCTGCCATATCCCCCCCCATAGCTCCCTCCTTCCCCTCATTCCCGTTTTAGCCTCTCCCATGTTTGCGCCTCTCCCTATTCGAAACGCTTCCTCGACCCTGTGTCCCTTTATCGCCCCCCAAACTATCCTCTTGTCCCCGCCCTGCCCCTCACGTCACGCTTATCTTCCCTCCCTCCCCTCACCTCCCTCCCTGTACACAGGCAAGCAACCCTCTCTCAACCACGCTAGATAAGAGTGAATCGCCACTGGCTCAGCAGGGAGATGGCGGGTGGCTGGGGGGAGTTGGGGAAGGGAGGGGAATAAGCAGCGGGACGGCGCATGGCAGCACTATCGCTGAGGGTAGAGGGAGGGGGGGGGGGGGGGGGGGACGGGAGGAGGAAGGTGGGGAGGAGGGGTACTCTGGTGTTCCTCTCTCTTTCCATTTCGCGCGCAACTCCAACCCCCGCTCAGTGCAACTTCCATATCATATCTCCTGCGCCCTCACCCGATCCCCTTTTGAACCCTATTCTGCTAATCCAATGACCAAAAAGCCCCCCCCCCACCCCCTCATGTTCTCAAAATGGGGACCCCTTTCGAATGTCGCCCATTCATTTCTGTGTACTTCCATCTCCGCCTCACTCTCTTCCTTCACCTCTCCAATCTCGTCCTCCCCTCTCCCTTCCATCTCTCCCCGCTGACCCTAACACCTTGCCTTACTCCCCTCTCCACCCTTACCCCACTCTACCTTACTCCCCTCTCCACCCTTACCCCTCTCTGCCTTACTCCCCTCTCCACCCTTACCCCTCTCTGCCTTACTCCCCTCTCCACCTCACCCCTCTCTGCCTTACTCCCCTCTTCCCCCTCACCCCTCTCTGCCATACTCCCCTCTCCACCCTTACCCCTCTCTGCCTTACTCCCCTCTCCAACTCACCCCTCTCTACCATACTCCCCTCTCCACCCTTACCCCTCTCTGCCTTACTCCCCTCTCCACCCTTACCCCTCTCTGCCTTACTCCCATCTCCACCTCACCCCTCTCTGCCATACTCCCCTCTCCACCCTTACCCCTCTCTGCCTTACTCCCATCTCCACCTCACCCCTCTCTGCCATACTCCCCTCTCCACCCTTACCCCTCTCTGCCTTACTCCCCTCTCCAGCCTCTTTCCCAAGAGAACTACACCATCTTGCACCTAGTCACTTGTATCAACAGTCTTCATTGCGCCCCTCTCTCCCATATTCTTGGAACCCAGGGCTCCCCTTCCTTGCTTCTTCCTCCCCCCGTTCTCTCCCTGAATGGAACGCCAGGAGGAAAATAATGAACGGTCAAGAGTTTTCCAGCCGCTCATCGAGGAAGACCCGATCTGGCGGACGAATAAGGTAAATATCATGTTTGAAATCACGCTTTGCACGCCCTTATAGGGATTATCGCGGCAACTACCTGACAGATGTATGCTTATGAGTAATATTGCAGCCAAAACATGTCCCTTGATTTCCGTTGCGTGGCAGACCACGCTCTCGTGCGCTCATGCGTCGTCGGCCAGATCCCATTAGGCTTGTATGTGAGGATGACGAGGAAGAAACGGTTCCGCAGAGTCGTGCTGATCCGCGTCCAGTGACTCCAAGCGTGGAGTCTCAGACAAGCAGTATCTCCAACTTCTCTACACCTAGGATCACTAGGCGGGTCCGATTTCGATCAGGCCTACCACCGGTGATTAGGATGCCATTGTACTGCTGGACGATCGCTGAATTTGCAAGGTGATTTCCAAAACAGTGTGGTGTTGGGCAAGTGGGGCTCAGCGTGGTTGGGGTTCCCACGGGAGTCCACAGTGGGTCGCTTCGCCACCGAATGTACCGTCGAGAACATTCGTGTCTATTGCGGTGCAAACCTGAGTGTTGGTGCGAATGAGGAGGAGTTGTATCCTAAAAACCATTGCTTCCGCTGTTATGTCGGTTATTCGTGTTGGGCTGAAAAAAGCCCTTAGGATCTTTGCAGAGGTGAATTCTGGGTAGAGTTGGTGTAGTAGCGGAAGCGTCTTAATAAAGAGTTTGTGAACCACCTTGCGCTAGTATGTGAGGGCAAAGTGAATTGATTAAAGCAAAGAGATACAAGATTATATAAGAGTACAAGGAATATGAAAGGGTACGATTATAATTGTTTTACTTGTTGCTGTTGCGGTTCGATACAGTGACGACTCGGGCAACTGCTCTGTAACGAGCCAGTTGCGTGTCCTTGCTGTCGCGCTGTATTTGTCAGGTCAAAGGTCGCTGACCTTTGACTTTCGCGTAACCTCCAGCAGTTACTTCAACCTCAGAGGGTTGACTCGCTGGTGCCTCGATATGCTCTGCTTCGTTTGTGCCTTAGTGTTTCGACACGACAGAGGCGCTTAGGAACTATTGTTTCCAACCCTCCCCTTCGCTTTTGGAGTGTCGCTGACGTGGCTCTGTCCAGTCAGCAGCATGCAATATTCGAACTTCTGTTTTCTGAGCTTCTTGGTCAGGTAATCAGCTGCCATCAGGGCTGACGTTTCAAATTTAGGTACCCTGATGTCCACCAAAAAAAAAAAAAAAAACCCTGAAGGCATATTTTCCAGAAAAGCAGCACCCTGATTGCTCAGTGTTGGGAAGTTATACAGTCTGAGTGTTCAGGGTCGAGAAGTCACGATCAGGGTACGTGTAGTAACGCGCTGTGCATTATCGAAACTGAACTTTGATGGCGAATCTGTTCTGTGAAAGGGCGAATGTGCAATGTCAGATACATTTTACTGTGATTGGTCAAGACCTTTGTGCTCTGACAGCTCAAATCTGCTGTGTCAGGGCCATTTCGCTGTGATTGGGCGAATTCGTTGCTCCGTACGGCGCGAATTCGCTTTGTCAACGCGAATTTTATTGACGCTGGTGCTGTGACCAGTCAAGACGGGTTTGACTCACCAGTTTGACCCTCACTAGTGAACCTCGGAGGTGGGTGTATCGAAAGAAAATTTCGAGGAAGCTTCCTCCCGATAAACTTGCATGCAGGGACCACAGAACGCATACTTTGTAGTGACAGACTCCAGAAATGACTAACACTGAGGCCTATTACACTGAATCAGGGGCCATAAAACAATAACTCTGAGGCTCTCAGTGATGAAAATTTGACTACTCTGGAATTCCATTTTTCACAAACTCGATGGTCTGATCCGTCAGACTAATCAGACTATTTACTCTGATAGCGTCAGCCCTGGCTGCCATCTCGGACGTGGGGCAGCTCAAGCCTTCCTTTCTCGATCTCGTCCTTCACGAAGAAATATCGTAGGGCGATGTGTTTCGTTCTGTTCGCGAAGCCGTTCTTGCTGGCGATGCGAATTGCCGACTGGTTGTCGAAGAACAGGGTGAAGTTGTGTAACTCGGCTAACTTCGCTTCTTCCAGTAGCTCGCGAAGATAGAGTCCTTCCTTGTTGGCTGAGCAGAGTGCAATATATTCTGCTTCAGCTGACGAGAGAGCAATTAGTTCTTGCTCGCTCGATTGCCAGGAGATAGGCCCGATAGGCTCGAGACGGTAGATGTAGCCGGTGCGTGATCGCCTGTTGTCGGGGTCGCCTGCGTGATCTGCGTCGACGTAGCCGATTAGCTTAGGCGTTGTAGTTGCGTTCTTATGATAAGTCAGTCCGACCGTCGGGGTACTGACAAGGTAGTGAAGAGCGCGGTCGAGCTCCGCCAGATGTTCCGCTTCAGGCCTCTTGAGGTAGGTGGCGAGCTGGCTTGCAGAGTAGGATAGATCTGGACGGCAGGTGACAGCTGCGAAGAGAAGGCAGCCCAGCTTTCTCTGGTAGTCGCGGATGCCTGCGGGCTTGAGTAGAGCGGAGCCTTCCTTGTTGCTTACTGTCGTGTAGCGGTACGGTGTGGAGATAGCTGTTGGTGTGAGTGCGAAACGCTTGGCGATGGTGTCGGCGTATTTCGTGGCGCTGAGGTAGATAGCGTCTTCTTCTTCTCGGATGTTGAGGCCGAGGTACTGTGTGACGGTAGGTGAGATTGTGAGTGTGAGGTCTTGTTGTAACTCCCCTTCGAACCAGGTTGTAATACCTTCGGTTGAGCCGATGTAGAGAAGGTCGTCTACGTAGACGATTAGCAGAACGTAGTCGGTACCCTTCAAGAGCCGGTACATGCCCTGGTCGTGCGGTAGTTGCTTGAAGCCGATGCGAATGAGGCGAGCGTGTAGGTATTGTTGCCATAGTCGCGGGGCTTGCTTGATGCTGTAGAGTGACTTGAGTAGTTGACAGACGCGTTTCGAGTCCGTGCTGGAGCCGTGTGGTAGCTCGACGAAGATCTCAGCGTCAACGGGTGCGTAGAGGAATGCATTAGCGACGTCGATTCTCCTTAGCTTCTTCTTCTTCATGGCGACGATCGCGAGAAGGATGCGTAGCGAGGTGTGTCGGCTGACTGGAGCGAATGTTTCGGTGAAGTCGCGGCCGTGCTCTTGGTCGAAGCCACGAACGACCCAGCGTGCTTTGAATTTGTCGATGGTGCCATCGGCCTTTGCCTTCACACGGAAGACCCATTTTCCGGTGAGTACTGTCTTGTTCCGTGCCACACCGATAGGAACCACCTTCCACGTGTTGCGTTCCTCCAGTGCCTACAGCTCCTTGTCCATGGCTTCGCGCCATTTTTCTTTATGTTCCCCCCCCAGAGCCTGCTGAACCGTCGCAGGCTCTTTAGGAGTGACGGAGCCGTGGACTGCAGTGACGAGCCCGAGGATGTGTAGTCCACTCTGTGAGTAGCGGGGAAGATTTACATCCTCGGGATAAGCTGCTTCGTCTCCCGTTTCTGGATCAGGTATGAAATTCGGTCCTACTCGTTCTGCTTCGTTGGTGTTGACTGTCGCAGATGTTACGTAACCGTTGTCGGCGAAGTGGTAGAAGGTTTCGGCGTTGGCACTTTCGCGAGGGTTGTCTTCGTTCATGGGAATGACAACGGAGCAGAACGGAAGAGGTCCGGCTTCTTCTGATGCGTTATCCACATTCTGCTCGTCCCACTCTGCTTCGTCCGCTGCTGAGGCGAAGGCTCGGTTACCACGAAGGCCACCTGTGGGGTCTTCGTCTTCTTGCAAGTTGGCAAGGTACGTCTGGAGCGTGAGTCGTTCATAGAAAATTACGTCACGTGCTGCTACTGTTTCCTTTGAGTGGACGTCGAAGATTTTCCACGCGTTGTAGTTCTTTTCGATGCCCAGGTGTAGTCCCTACTGTGCTCGTTGAGAAAATCGGCCCGCTCGTGCTGCTGGGGGTCGGTACTGTACCATGCACCCGAAAACTCGTAACATTTTTGTGCTGCCCTGTTTCCCTGTCCATAGCAGATGCGGTGATGCGTTGTTCGGAAGCGATGACGACGACAGTAAATTGTGCAGCATGACAGCGTGGTCCATTGCTGCAGGCCATTGGTGGTTGGGTAGCCGCATGCCACGTAGCAGTTTGCGCATGGTGTTCTGCAGGGTCCTGTTCATTCTCTCTGCTACTCCTTGCTGCTGATGGGCGTAGGGAAGGGAGATGAGCTGCTTGATTCCCCTTTCCGCCAGGTACTGCTTGAACCGCTGAGAGGTGTATTCTCCTCCTCCGTGTGACTGGAAGCTTTTCAGTTGTACGCCCGTCTCTCTCTCTGCTACTGGTAGCCAGGCAACAAAGGCTGAGAATGCCATGTCGCGGCTGGGTAGGTTTAGGTGCCAGACGTAACGGGTGGCGGCGTTGATGAAGGTGATCGTGTAGTTGTGTGTGACTTGTCCTGGTTCCCGATTGAACAGGATATCGCTATACACCTTCTCGAGTGGTGCGTACGCGGGAGCGCTTGGGTTGTGATGTGACGCGAATGGTCGATGCGGTAAGTCGCCTTCAGGGCAGGTGAAGCACGTTCCTCGCGCTTGTTGAAGTTCTCGTCCGACAGTTAGTAGGAGCGAGTCCTTGTCAAGTACTCCTGCTCTTATTGTATTGTTTAATACTGTGTTGCTTGGGTGTCCCACCCGTGCGTGCCAGGTGCTTTCGTTGGCGCGATGTCCAGGTTCGGCTGAAGTGACTCGCGGCGAGGTGTGGTTTCGTCGAGTTGTTCTTCCGGTGAGTAGTCTGGTGGTGACTCGGTGATGCAGGAGTCTGTTATCTTTGTCATGCAGCTGACGATGTTTCTTGCTTCTTATGCAGGTTGTCCTGTTGAAGTCTTTGAAGCTTGAATCTGAG